ATGTTATATTAATTTAACCTGGTAGTACTTTTCATATAATAGTTTGAATAAGGCTTACTATTTTTTCCTACAATATTGAAAATCGATACTGTATCAAGTTATCAAAAATTAAAATATTTAGTTAATGCATATTCAGTGTACATTTAATGCTCCTTTGTGATGCTTCCAGAAAGTAATAGCCTGTTATTTGTCCCCCACGGCACGTTGTCGCCTGCGAGCAAATGACATATGATATGTTTCCTGTTGACAAATAGGCCGCATCCCATTGTCGGGAGGGGATTCTGCATTAATCTCTGCCGTTATCATTTCAACGAAGCCCCCCCCCCACACACACACACACTACTCTACCCTACCCCAGCCACCCAAAGGGAGTGTGTGTGCGATTGGATGCGTGAGGGTGAGGGCCGGGTTCTGTGGAAGAGAGCGGAGCGGTGGTATTATTAACACGGGAATACCATTCCCTTCATTACGGTTGCTACTAATCACGCCCACTCCGAGCTCTCGTTGCCGACTTCTCCGCGCACGCGCGGCAGCGCTGGCGGCGGCGCGTCACCGGCGTCGATGGATGTCGACGGCGATATATCTCGATCAGAGCGCCACTGCAGACGCAAGCCGAGCGTGATTGCAGGCCCACTAATGAGGATGGATGTGCAGTTTTTACCCAAGTGCCCGCATCAATATTTATATCCCGGTTGCCTAATTGATACAGTTCGTTCACTTTTATTACTGACCCGGCATTAATTCAAATTACTCGCCTGTCTCTCTTACTCGCTTCCTTTCTCTTTTGCGGGTCTGACGGAGTTACGTGTGGATCGTGTTTCGGGTGCGGGAGATCGACCATGCACCGGCGTGCGCGTGCTACAGGGCCGGGTTCTCTAATCTTACGAAACGCGTTTTTTTTGCTATGACACGTTGTGAACATGTGTTTCCACATACGAGGAAACGTTGGTTTCTTTACAGATTAATCCACTAGGCACTGGCGTACAGCCCGAAACTTGCATTAGAACCTTAACATAGTCCTGCTAAGTCCTGCGTGTCCGAATCTGAAGCAGCAAGTGTCTTTCCCGAGTGTGTGTTGTTTTAGTTTTTTATCCATTTTCATCAGATTATGATTAACAAGTTATTAACTATTTATACTCGTCTTTTTTTAATTTTTAGAACTGAAGTAGCATTTTTGTCGTTTTACAACATATCGATTACAAATAAACACGTACGTATCTCCTTTTAAAGTGAAGATATGTTTTATTATCTCGGGAGAAGCAATATTTGGCACAGTATCCCAATTAGTCTATTACCAAAGTCTGGACTTTTTTATTGAAGTAAACCTTTTTATTACACTCGGAGACGCATGCCAAAACAATAAAAGAACATTCGAAAGTTTAAATACCTCAAATGTCAGCATTAGTGACAAGAGGTACAAAGTAAATATCTTTATTCGATGGTCCTTATTACACGTTTAAAAATGTTTAAAAATTATTTTGTGACAGGATAATTCGCTGCCGTGACTCAAGTCGCAGATTAAGGGAAGGGCATTTGAATCCTAATACTCTGAGAAAGATTGGGGATTGAGGATCTAGAATCAGTCATTCGACTTTGTCCATCGAAACATTTTTCAGTGTTTCTTTCCTGGCTGAATCTGTCTTACAAAGTTGTTACATTTTTCACATTAATTAATTTATATAATTTGACATCTTAATTTCAGAGTGGAGATTATTTACTGTCTTAATCCCGCTCATCCCAAGTAGAATTACTTGCGTTGGAGAAAATGAATTTGAAACGAATCTCCTCCAACGAAATAGTAGATAAAGATTGTTTTTAAATCTTTAAACCTTCGAGGTCCTACAAATCTTCTTTAAACGTCTCTGTTCTTAGTTTTCTGTTTCTTACGTTTTGCTTTAAAATACTCAACTTAACAACAACAACAACAAGCAGAAAGTATCGAACGCTTAACATTTGTAAACTTATTTATGTTTTCAAAAATTCAAAATATGTTACCTGATTTTTCTTTAAATTGCATTTTCTTTGAAATCAAACAATTAACTCTCAATGACTTAATTTCAACTTAACATATTGTCGTGTTTGATATTAATTTACCTTGTACTGGGAGCAACTAGCTTAATGAAACGCCTTACAGCGCGAGCATTTCTGAGATTGGGAGGTTTCGGGGTTCGATTGCGGTAAGAATTCAGAATTTTACTTTCTGTGTTTAACATCGGAGAGATTTTGGCCAGAACCGAAATCTTAGGCCGACTGCTCTAATCTGTGGTTTTCCTAATCAATCCTAGACGAAGCAGCTCCCTTGAAACATCCATAGTCCGAGAAAGATTTTTCTTTCCCATTCCCTTCCCATCATAGTCATCATCCTGTTATCTTCCTCAGGGCATCAACTGATGTCACTGCTGTGTCTCTGAGCGGGAAGTTCGAGTCCCGACGGAGACAGGATTTTCGACGCTAACTTTATAGCTAGGTAGAATTCAGTGTCTGTCTGGAGGAGACTTCTAGCGGCCGGCTGCTCTGATCGATAGTTTTCCGTGGTTTCTCCTACCAATACCAGATGAATGCCGGAACAGTACCCCAACAAACATGGTCCACGCGCGATCTTTCCTTTCTCTTCGTTGTCGAATTCTCAGTCCCTTGCGTACACATTTTTACACTTAAATGCCACGAGACCTCAAGAGGTAGAGCTGGTCCCTGCTGGGGCAGTGGCCCGCTGGTGGGAAATAGCTACTTAGTAGGGAAAAAACCCGGCTTGCTGACTCGAAGGTCGGCGCTAGATCTCGCCATCCAACGGGGAAAGACCGCCGCCTCGCGAGGGGGAAAACATGCTCTACACTTTCGTGACCAAGAACCTTAGCAGATGGCGCACCCGGAGTTGCTAATCCAATCACTCAATCAATCCATCCATCCATCAATCAATCCAATTCTCTCTCCCTATTCGGACTGACGCCGGGGGGGAGTATGTCTTATCCTATTCCACTCCATTGTAACCAGCTTGCGCCGGTGAGAAGACCTTGCCACTGCGCGGAACCAACGCCAGGAAAGAAAAAGTGTACATAATTATGTTTCAGGTGAATGCGACAGACTTGTCTCTCTTAAATTCGTTTTTAATAAAATTCTGATAAGATCCACTCTAGTTTTGCTAGTTGCCTCAGAAATAGTACGTAACCTGTAATAAACGTTACTCCACTACCGTGAAACGTTAACTTTTCGACGTTCTCATGAAGAAACTAGAGGAAATCATAAAATATACTGAGGAGATTCGAGTGCTATAATTCTTTTTCAAACATATGGTATTGAAACCATGGCATTCTCAAGGTGTTGACGTTGTGGCGCCTGCGAAGCACAGCTCACCACGACCTGTCGACGAAACTTAAAGGAGAGCGAGGATTCACAGGTAGACATATTAGCTCGTGCATTAAAGGTGAAAATCAAATATTTCAATATTGTGAAACCTTTCAATGCAACAAGCAATGAATGTGTCATCAAAGCCTGAAATATATTTCAATATCGACACGCATATGAAGAACAAAAAGGCGTTGTTCTCTTTCATTTTTAACTATAACTATTAACTGGAATTGTTTAAAATATTCTTGAAAATATTTAAAACGCTAAAATTTAAATAGTTTGGAACCAATTATAAACTAATTTTGATTTTATTAGGTTAGATTAGGCGTAAATGTTAGTAAGTTTTACCTTCACGAGTGAAGCATTAAAGTACGTATTCGTTTTTTAACTATTTCAAGAGATTGTGAAAATTTCTTAATTGGCGCAACATATACGAATTTTTTAAGACGTGCATTTAGTATTATTAATGACTGTGATAGTTCATAGTGACTGTTTTTTATAATAATATATCTTTATTAGTGAACGAATATACATAGTTCAGTATTATTTATACTACATCATATGTATTTTTTATGACTTATATTTAACTTAAATGCTAATCTTACAACTAAATCTAACTACACATGAATAGGAAACTCACAGAGCACCTATGTGATTAATTGACTTCTGAAAATATGCTGAGGAATGAATCTAATTTTCTCGCGCTTAAAAAGGAACGCCTTAAGAAGAGAAAGTTATGTAATGCTCCGCATGAATACACCAAATTTTCGGCAGAAACACTTATTATTTGGCCCTGGTAATGAAAAAATGAATAAATCCAATTGTTAAATTTAGAAAAAAATCTTGTAACACATGATGTATCCACAATCACTGTTTTGTTGGTCCTTGATACCAAATAACCGATTGAAGGCAAAACGTCTATGACAACGCTAATGGCTAAACTGTTCAGCCGATTTTTTCCATAATTATTATTCTGTAATCGATCTGGCTGATATGGATATTTTAATTTTCGGTGGTACTTTACATTAAACCCTAGGTCATTTTCAAAAAAATAGTGCCATCGATTTTGAACAAATTGTGATGTTGGATAGTCTAAAGGGAGGTTAACAGAATGGCTAATGTCTCATGTTGGTTGAATATCCTAATTTGTAGAAAATTGAAAAAATTGAAAAAAAAATTGGCGTGTTCCTTTAACAACAATTATGAAGACACATTTTTTCTTAATGAATTATGATTATCAAAAATATATCTTCAGATAAGGTCATATTGAATTGTTGGAAAATATGATTATTTTTGGAGTAATTGGCCGTCAAAGTTAGTCGCCAGTCGTGAAAATCCTACGCTTCTTGATCGGAATTTCATAGATATTTCGAGGCAGTTAGATGCTACGTAAGTTAGAATGTATAAATTATTTCATATTTCGTATTTCTTAGTTCGTTTCATACATTGAGGCTTGTGTTATACACTTACAAATTAATCTTTAAGAAATGATTTAAAACGTATTTGAAATAAATAAATTGAAATTATGATTATATTTTGAAATAAATATGAAATTATGATTGCTATCGTTCAGTCACTCGCTCCCAATTTACTCATTTCTCAGTTGTGTCAGTCTCGTTTGTCAGCTTGTCAGTTAGAATTTTGTATATAATTTCATGTTTAATTTTATTATTATTATTATTATTATTATTATTATTTATATTGTATTTATGTTACTTCATTTTAAATTGCGCCCTTTAATTGAGTTATATGCGAAAACGAATAGATGAGCAGTCGTTGTTTGCTGTTATCAATTGTTGTAAAGCCGCACAGATACCATAAGGGTGATAGTGTCGGCAACTTTTCTTTGGCGGTAATAAAATCTAATATTTTTTTATATATTAGTGGAATATTAAAATACCATAGTGTTAAATAATTACTATGATGTATTTTTCGATCTCTTTGCATTTGTTTGCCAACGCTATCAGTATCGTAATATTTATTATCTTTTAATTATTTTACTTTCGTTCATATTGCTATTTTTCGCACCAAATGTTCTAGGATTTCAAATGAGTTTTACAAAACTTAATTCGGAGATAAATTGTGGTATAAATAGTATTACATAACCATTAATAATGATAAGAAAGTACGTGCTGTTTTAGAACCACTAGTTAAGATGGTAAACAATAAGTTTTTCAGTAATGGCCTTTTGAGAGGTTGAAATCATGCCAATACTGATGAAGAATCTATACAATCGGTAGAGGAAGAAGGAAATGCGAAGGAAAACATAAGGTGTCGCATGAAATAATGAAACTCCAATATGTCAATTCAGATATATTTTTCTCTGGATACTATATGTACAGATATGATGTCTTGTGCACATTTTGTTTATTGAGGTACTCAGTACTACTTTGCCATACACACAGAATGCATCATGTGAATTTGTTTCTCATCAGATATATTTTCTCGATTCAACTTCTGATTTATCGCCTGATATTAATGGAAGAATTTAAAATATTAACGTAGTTTTTTTCAGTTTTAATCTAGAAGAGTAGTGTACGTAACAAGGGCGCGAAACAGCTGATTGTCGCACTCGTCTCTCTGCGTTAATCTCGAAGCACAAACTCGACTCGTGCGTAAATCACCTCTCGTCCGTGCTGCGTATACAATTTTTTAACACGCAAAGAGAAACGCAATGCGTAGATAATAAACAAAGATGTAGTCTATACGAAAAACACTTGCGAACCGTTACAGATGTTTCGCACACTGTGAAAAAATTAGCTGTTTCGTACACGAAAAACAAGAATGCTACCGCGTTTCGCGCACGGCGTGGTAAAGAGTATTTTCTAGAATCACATATAATTATTATTGCCTTGAAATAATTAAATTATTTACACTTGATAAATTTTGTCGCATTGGCATATGGCAAGCGTCGGCATTTAAGCAAATATTATCACGACAATAATTTTAAAATGGATATTAGTAATGTCGAATAATTTTACTTGGTAAACTGAAATGACTGAAATTTTCATATAATTCCATTAGTCAAATCATCTTTTTAAATCTCCCGCTTATTGAAGTGATTATGGTAAAGTTGACATTGTAGAATTCCTTCATGCGTCTTTGAGATGTCGACCACTAGAAGATGTTAAAACACAACCAAACTAAAACCAGCACCTATAACAATATGAAACCGTGTCATCGTATTTTAACCAGATTCTTCTAATACATGGCGGAATTTCAACTAACGAACATATTTAAGATTTTTCCATTGCGAAAGAAGTAGCATCAGAGGGCATCGTGAAAAGCTGTCTAGTGTTCTTTTTTCTTTCTTTTGACGGATTATTGTCGAAGAGCGTCCGTTGCTCCTTTTTGTTCTCCTACATGCAGAGGCTTAACTTCAGTTTGCAAGCCATGCTCCGCTGCGACCCTCCTGCTCGCGAAGAGAAATCCATATTGAGAACCTTTGAAAATATTGATACATTCGCTAAAAAGGATAAGTTTGCTCTACACGTTCAGTAAAATACTGCGGCGAATCCGGCGGCGGCTGTATATCTCTGCTCGGGCAGGCCGCTCGCCGCAGTTCGCTCGCCGCTGTCGGCGCGTCAGCAGTTATGAACTGCGCCACGCTCGGTGAAGTTTACGTCGCTTCTCAATCACTCCCTCAATGTTGTCGCGCCTCACCCCCTCCACATCTCACAGCGCGGATGTGATACTCTCTCCGGAAGGGAGCGGGGCTGATAATAGATTTTTTTGTTTTTATCGTGTTTTTTTTATGTAAAAACTTCCTGAAATTTTTAACAGAATTTTCAGGCGTTGATTTCGTATAGTTTGAAAACGTTTGTAAAATGAAAATGTTTGATTTTTTATGTAAAATGAAGACTGTAATAATATATTTTTCTATTGTAATAGTATTCAATCGAAAATTTGCAATTGCTATCTATGCACATAAATTCTTCCTTACAAAAAGTAATTGCTCATGGCTTCTTTGCACATCAATTAGGCTGTATTTGATTTATTTTCATTTAAAACGCTCGTTCGAGAGGAGGGCAGTAGAGGAGAGCTCTCTGATACAATATTTGGTGGGCGATCATCCTTGTCACCGTTTGACCGAATACGTACTTGATCTTATACTTACACTTGTTTCTTGTTAGCGGGGCATTATTATTTGGCGAAAATGTTTGTAAAGCAATTGAGTTTGCTTGTGTGGATAAACATATAGTTTTACCAACCGACCATACTGACCACGAATATTTATGAATCCAAACGAGATTCCTACAGCATCAACAGAGTACTGTAAGATAGTTCTCGCTTATTCTCTTGACTCTCGGTTGGGAATAAAATTAAGTAATTGAGAATATCTATTATGATACTCAGTCAGTTTTATGAGTTTTACGTAAAAAATAAAAAATTTAAAAGGTAAAATATTTCGGTCTTAATTTAGTTTTCATGTTTGTGTAAGGATAATGATATAGAAAAACCATCAAGCATAATTCACATGTTTGCGACTTGGTGTGCTTGAAGCAGTCTATTCTTTGTAAAATTTGTCTATTCCTTGTATGAAATATTTTGGTATCCCATCTGTAAAATGAAGTTGCGCTATAAAATAATATTTAAAACTTATTCGTGCGTCACGTTATTATTTTTTGGAATTAATACAGATAATAATTCAATTAAAATGATCACAAAAATAACTCTTTGCTTTTAAAAAAATTATCGTATTAGTTAAAGTTGTCATAGAGTATTGTTCTACAATACTTCTTGAAGCAAGTGTTTTAGACGAATTCCATAGACGGAGAATAAAACGTAGCACTTTTTTAGACTTTTAATTTAAATGAAAAATACATTAATTTCGTTTCACAATAAGAAATAAATTGCTTTTAATATCATCAAAATTAATACAATTAAAACAATTAATCTATTAATTGATCGTATTGTCTAGATAAAAAAGTATTCTGTGAATATTAAAACGGTTTAATGTTTAAAGTGGTCTAATAGATGTCCTCTTGTTGTTACAATTATACGATAATGTAAATGTGCGTTACATGTAATTTTTCTAAAATATCATAAGTGTATGTGATAGTTATATACTTAAATAATCCTTGTATGCACATCAATTGTCATAATGCTGGTAGACACTTCAGTTATTTGAAACTGCTTCGAACATTTAATAGTTGGGTCTTTTCATAACTTCGTCCGGCGAACAAGTTTGTTGGTATTAACAGTGCATTAGAACCCCGGTATTCGAAACTAATTGGGGGTGTGGTCTGTTCGGATTATTCGCAAAATAAACCGTACACAAATACATATATATGATTTCCAGACACAATGCAACGCAGGAATGGCAGTCTGCGGAATGTCAGCGTAGCGTAGCGACATGAGGACGTGGCAATGTTTCGAACAACGCTGTTCAGTACGTACATAACCGATCGCAAGCGGCAGTGGTTGCTATATTGTTTAGGAGAGTAAAAACAGTTTGTGCCGCTGGTCTAAACGGATATTCTATGAACAGTACTCAGAATTGAGTTGACTTATACTGTGTTCATGCTTTTTCGTTTATAATTTAAGTTAATATAAAACAAGTGTTTTTTGCTTATTTTTTCTTCCATCCCGAATTTTGTTTGAAGTATTCAAAATTTCGGATTTGCGGGGTACTTCTGTATTTAGTTTTGAATATGCCTCGTAAGACAAAGCTTACTTTTCATGAAAATGTTTTGAAATGTCACACATTTTACCATTGCACTTCTATTCAATTTCAGTTTACGTATCCAACGACAGCTGGGAGACATCCTCACATGATCAACCGTATTTTTTATAAACAAGTGCCAAGTTTCTTAAAAATAATATGCTACTTTTTACGTACTGTTTTACATGGTTACATATCTATAAGCTAAACCACTTGAGTAGCATTGTACACTTAAAACTTTGTATTGAACGCTGTTAATTCATTGCAATTTCTTTTGATGCACTGTTTTTTTCAAGACATTAGTCTTCGTAAAATTGATACAGAGAATATGCACGAAAATCTCTTTGCCCAGATGAATTACATTTACTACAAATGACTAAAAAATACAATACTCAGAAAAGAGTCAGCAAACTTTGAAAAGAAAAGTTAAATAATTCTGGGGAATTTATTCAGCTGGAAAGATCTAAAAAACTGTTCATATTTGTATAAAATTATTTTGTACAGATTCCTGTATGGATGCCAAATGCGAGTCTGAGCAGAGACACCATAGTGCAAATTTATTTATTTTACTAACAAATGAAACCACACTCTAGACTCCTCGAGAACTGACTTTGCAAGTTTTTAACTTCCTTCTGTTCAGAAAGCAAAGGTTTTTTCACAATTCTAATGTCACTAAATACAATTTTTTATTATTTCTTCAGTTTTCCAGTTCAACCTGAAATAATACCATTATTGAATTAACTTAATTTAAAAAGGTTATAATTGTTTTACATAACACCACTGTATTTCATATCAATATAAGGTATATTACACATGACGTCCATGTATAATGTGTAAATTTCAAGATGGAATTTCGATATATTCGTCTAAAATAAAACTAGTAATTTTAATTCTATAAAATAAATTATTTATCATGAAATAATAGTCCTATGTTTAATGTATATTTTTATGAGAAAATATTTGTAATATATTATAAAAACATTTTAAATTTAAAAATTGAATATAATATTTTTTTGACGAGTGAGACACACAACAGCCTCTTTTAAGTCCAGAGAGGTGGAGTATTGCACTAAAAAGTCCTTACCTGTACACTGGAACATGACAACTGGTAGGATATAGGCTACATTCTTAAACCTTTGTACATAAATTCACAGATTAATGTTCTTCACATTATTTAATTCAGTTTAAACACTGCATAACCCCGCAAGCAGTTTCATGTGTTGCTTTGCACTGATCGGCACACGACTTCAGTCAGGGAAAGGACCAACAGAGACTACATGGCGCCAGCGTGATGGTTCCAAGGGACGAATAGAGACTACACCTCGAACTTGGTGGTCCCAAAGGAGGAATAGAAACTGCGCTTCGAAGAATGGGGCGAGTGTGATGACCCCAAGGGACCAAAGGCGCGGTTGTTCCGAGGGATGAACGGCAGGGCGCTTACGCCTCAAAGAAGCGCGCCAGCGTGTTGGTTCCAAGGGGCAACAGGCACGTACACCTCAAAGAAGGGCGCGGGCGTGGTGGTCCCAAGGAACGTCAAGCGCATACCCCTTGAAGAATTGCGCCAGCGAGGTGGTCCCAAGGAACGTCAGGCGCCTTTTCCTTGAAGAATGGCGCCAGCGAGGTGGTCTGAAGGGCCGAACGGCGCCTACACCTCGCAGAATGGCGCGGGCGTGGTGGTCCCAAGGAAAGTCAAGCGCCTATCCCTTGAAGAATGGCGCCAGCGAGGTGGTGTGAAGGGCCGAACGACGCCTACACCTCGAAGAATGGCGCGGGCGTGGTGGTCCCAAGGAACGTCAAGCGCCTATCCCCTCAAGAATGGCGCCAGCGAGGTTGTCCCAAGGAACGTCAAGCGCCTATCCCCTCAACCATGGCGCCAGCGAGGTTGTCCCAAGGAACGTCAAGCGCATATCCCTTGAAGAATGGCGCCAGTGAGGTTGTCCCAAGGAACGTCAAGCACCTATCTCTTGAAGAATGGCGCCAGCGAGGTTGTCCCAAGGAACATCAAGCGCCTGTCCCTTGAAGAATGGCGCCAGCGAGGTGATCTGAAGGGCCGAACGGCGCCTACACCTCGAGGAAGGGCGCGGGCGTGGTGGTCCCGCCGTGGCGGCGGTGGCCCTTGCGGCGCCGCTGTGCGCGGCGTCGCGGCGGCGCCGTGCTGGGCGGCGGCGGAGGCGGCGGCGGCGGCGCCGGGGCGTCCGTCACGTCGGCGCCCTCCCCCGGCGCCAGCTCCGCTGCCAGCTCGGCCGCCTCCGTCGCCTCCCACGCCGCGTCCCCGCCGTCCGTGGTGAGCGGGTCGGGTGTCGCCGCCCGCTGCGAGGTGGGCGGAGGCGCCGGGGTGGTTGTGGTGGCGGTCGTGGTGCGGCGCGGGCGCCTCGTGTGCGGCGCAGCGCTGCTGATGGGCGGCGTCGTTGCCAGCGCGGTGGTGGTGGTGGTTGTGGGCGTTGTTGTTTTTGTTGTAGTGGTTGGCGCCATTGTTGTGGTGGGCGTTCTCGTCGTGGTGGAAGCAGCTGTAGAAGTGGTGGTGGGGGTGGGAGTTGTGGTTGGTGCCGTGGTGGTCGTGGTCGTGTGGCGGTGACGCTGTGGGTGCGGTGGTCGAATGGTAGGGGCCGGACGCGAAAAGACCACCTGCGTAGTAGACCCTGAAAAATCGGCCATGATTAATTGGCATCTCATCGTTGTGATTAATGAGCATGAATACTTTTTTAAAACTTTTATCCACAAATTGAAAATTTAAAGAGTCGGGACACCACATAATATTCCTCATTTCACATATCAAAAAACGAAGATATTATGTTTACCCAAAAATCCAAATACGGTACAAACAGGCTCATTTCAATTGTATGTATGTCTGTGTGTAAAAACAACAACAACAACAACAACAACAGCAAGACATGTATACACTGAGTAGACGAGTCTGAATTAAAACTTTTGTTTTTCAATGGTTTGCAAAAAAGAGGGTTTTTACAATATTGCTCGGTCTTTTCATTTCAGTTAATTCAACAATGACAACTTTGCGTTTCGTGTATTTCTCTCTGTCTTGAAATGCTCTGTTAAACATTGTATATGTTAAAGCAGAATATATCTAATAATTTTTGAACTATGTATCAACATTTTTTAAACAAAATGTACACTGTATTGTTGTTAAAAGTTTAATTTCAGTTAAAGTTTAAGTTATTTTATATGTATTTCGTGATGATTCAAGATATAATGTAGGTGTTTATGAAAACTGCGGAAGGTTTGATGAAAATTGTTATTAAAACAAATGATGATACTCTGATTGGAGAGCAAGCACCTTCCAAAATCTCGGGGCCAAAGGCTCCGCTTCACCTAGACGTACCAACGTAGTTGGGCTTTTCATATCATGAATCCGTATCAATCGTATCGATATTTAACCATAGTCATTATTTACTTCCATGATCATCTTATCAATGAGTGAATCTATGAAGAAATGTGCCTTGATTATAATGTAAGTTTCTAAACCTTCCAGCCAAATACAGTATCCAAATGATTTCAATTGACAGGTGATTGAGAAGGCAAAGAAATATTGAATGAGAAGCAAGGCTAACGAACTCGCTTCGTCAGCCACAAATTTCTAAAGGATCGACTGGGATTGGAACCCTAGAACCTACATGCGGAAGGATGATGGTTTGGCAACTACACTAATGGTCGTCCCTGATCTATGAGGTATTGCATATTCTGAAAAGTTGGACACAAATGCAAACTTCGCGTTCTACAGTTCCGGACAGAAAGACTGATTAGGACGCAATTCACCTCCTCACGTATTATTTGTTACTGACCGGTTATTTGTACTGACCGGTTTAGAAGACATAAATTGATATTATTGCAGTGCATGTGAGCGGGAGGTTCTGGGGTTAGAGTCCTGACGTTGGCAGGATTATTGACACTACCAGCTGTTGCTTCATAGCTAGGTGAAAGTCAGCCGGAGTCTGAAGGAAGATTCTTCCGGCTATTCTAATCGGTAGCTTTCCTGCTCAACCCAAGGCGAATACCGGAGCAATACCCTAAGAGCCATGACCCCCGGGAACGATCTTTCCTTCCTTTCCTTGCCCTATCCTCACCCTTTACTTACTCTTACATGCACCACACCACCACACATGCTGGGGCATCTATCGCGAGCTTAGAGCTCGGTCCGTCTGGGGCGGTATCAGGCAGGAGAGAGACACCTTTTTGGGGAAAACCCTGCAATCACAAGTGTAGGTTGGCGCCGGTTCTCGCCATCCAGCGGGGGAATATCACCGCCAGCTCCCGCGGTAAAACCAAGTACAATATTTTCGGGACTAATGAGCTAAGCAATCGACGCGCCCAGAATAACCAATGAATCGGCTGACGAGTGTGACGCTTCCTCCCACGGATTCGCCGCGTGGCTGCGTGGCGCGTGCTCACCGTGAGCGGGTCCCTCGCCGTCCTCGTCGTCGTACTCGTCGCCGCTGCCGTCCTCGTCCTCGTCGCCGTCGCCCTCCTCCGGCGGGGACGGGGAGGGCGCGGGCGTCGCGGCGGCGGTGGTCGGCCGCTGCGTCGTCGTGGGCGCTGCCGTCGTTGTGGTAGTAGTGGTAGCGGCGGTGGTTGTGGTTGTGGTGCGCGGCCGGCGCGTGCCCGCCGTTGCCCCCGAGGGAGGGTGCGTCTTGCGGTGGCGGACGCGCGGGGCTGAGGTGGTGGTGATGGTGAGGGCGGTGACGGGGGTGGGGGCGGCGACGGTGATGGCGGCGGTCGGCGGCGGCGGCGGTGGTGGAGACGGGGGTGGCGGCGGCGGCAGCGAAGGCGGGCCTCGCGTCGCGGCCGGACGCCGTCACACGTCCTGGTTGGACAGGCGGAACACAAGATTTAAATCATGGGCTGATGGAATGTTGTATGTACTCTCTACTCTAAAGAATGTTGTTACTTTGTCGCATTTACTTCAAAATAAAAGAGAGTTATAAACGTACGCGAATTTTTGACAGAAAAACTCTCATTGATGGAAACGAAAAAGTGGATAAATCTTGTTCCTATATAATACATAAGAACACGATTTATCCACTTTTTTGTTAGCAAGTCAAAATCAGTTTTTTGGCATAAATGGAACAACAGTAACAAAAGAATAACTTTCGTTTAACACTGTAAACCTTTGAAAATAGCAAATTTATAAACTCTACGTGAAAAAACGTGCTGCTATAGCACTACTAAGTTAATCTATTAATCTATTTGTTAAACCTTTTGACCTTGGGAGAAAACATAGGATGCATGTTTTGTTGTTATGAATTGTGCATTCGTAACTATCGATACGAACGTGATCAAAGCCTTCCAAGCAAATGCTTTCCCAAGGGATATTCTTTACGTAAGCGTTGTTATTTGCGAAGCAGATGTCTCTCGGTTTCCCAGTGAAGGAAGAAAACTCACTACTTTTTCTGCAGACCTTCCAAGAAAGTGTTTTCCGGAGAAAAATTGTTACCATGCAGTCATTCCAGACTGTGAAACAGTATGTCTTCCTGGATATACGTATCAGAAGGCATTTTCTAGTGAAATGCGAGTGCCTATCAAGATGCAATTTTGCAATACTATAGAATTGTCTATGCTGTAAGGTCGTCTTGCTGTTACCGTCCTAGCGAATGCTGCCTGAAGACTCAGAGGTCACTTTCTCCTCTGCGTCTGATAGTCGTCCGTATGTATGAAGGGCGCTCGTCAGATGCTGCACGCCTTTCATGCGAATGATCCTAGGAGTAAGAGGGGGATGATCATCTAGTAGGAGGATCAGGCGGCTAGTCCTCTTCTCACACTACGAGTAGTACAAGGAGGGTGGCTCACCTGGTAGACGGTGTATGCGACTAGTCGGGCCCTTGTGCTCCAGGAGGGGCCTGACTCACCTATTAGGCGGAGCAGGTGGCTCGTTCTTTTCTCATTATTTTTCTTGTAGTGCGATCGGGCGTGATCAACTGGTAGTCGGTGGAGACGGCTAGTTATCCTCTAGCGCTCCAAGGGGGGCGTGGCTCACCTGCTAGACGGTGCTGGTGGCTAGTCGTCCCTTCGCGCTTCAGGTGGAAGGGCGGTGGCTCACATGGTGGGCGGTGCAGGAGGCTAGTCGCCCTCTCGCGTTCCAAGGGGGGCGTGGCTCACATGGTAGGCGATGCAGACGTCTAGTCATCCTCCAGCGGTCCACGGGGGGAGGGGCTCACCTGGTTGGCGGTGCAGGCGGCTAGTCGTTTCCTCGGGCTCCAAGGGGGGCGTGTCGCATCTGGTAGGCGATCCTGATGGATAGTCGTTTCCTCGGGCTCCAAGTGGGGGGGCGTGGCTCACCTGGTAGTCAGGACAGACGGCTAGTCATCCTCTAGCACTCCAAGGGGAGCGTGTCTCACCTGTTAGGCGGCGCAGACGTCTAGTCGTTTCGCCGGGCTCCAAGTGGGGGGGGGGAGCGTGTCTCACCTGGTAGGCGGTGCAGGCGGGCAGCTGGCGCGACCAGGAGCCGTCGTTGCGGCAGCGCAGGCGCTCGTCCACGCGCGCCACGAAGCCCGCGGTGCACGTCACCGCCACCTGATCGCCCGGCTCGTAGGCGAACTTGAGCGGCGACACGCGGCCGTGCGCCGGGTCGCCCGGGTACGGGCAGCGCGCCTTGCCTGCGCACACGCGCGTCGCGTCGGCTCGCATCGCTGGCTGCCCGCGAGCAGAGGATAGGAAGCGTTCAGGAAGGAAATGTGACGGCATGCCGGTGCGGCGGATACATGGTGGAAAGAGATGGGTGAGTTATTGCAAATCGTACCGACTGTGGTCAATGAGATTTAGGCACCAGTCTGCGTCAGAATATTAACGGGAATTTTAAATGCAGCCATATACCAAAATTATCTCATTGTTTCAAGTCTTCAAAACAGATTTACAAAACATGTTCATACAATTCATCTTTTATTTCTACATGTTTAAAAAGTTCACA